GGAGGGTTTTGCTATGCGTCGCCTCGACGAATTGGTCCTCCATAATTGTCCCAAGTTGAAGTCTCTACCGGAAGGCCTGATCCGACAGGCAACCTGCTTAACCACATTGGATCTGAGGAATGTGTGTGCTCTCAAGTCCATCAGAGGTTTCCCTTCTGTGAAACAACTGAGAATAAGTGGTAAATCAGATCTGGAGATTGTCACTGATCTCCCTGCACTGGAGTTCTTGAGGTTGGGCACTTTTGGATCTCGCATCAATCATTTACCAGAGTGGTTGGCGGCTTGCCCTGCATGCTTCACCACGCTCCAGAGACTGGACGTATGGGGAGCCACCAAACTCCTCCGCAGATGCCTCCAAAATGGCGCAGACTGGCCCATGATCGAACGCTTTCCAATTTTTTCCATCAGAGATTTCCGAGGCAATTATATAAACTACATCAAGCATTCCTGCACCTTCGACACAAACCTAGTCGATGATGATGCTGCTTTTGCTGCTGTTGCTGCTGAAGAAGAAGAAGAATAAGAAGACGTCAATGAGCTTTGAGGTAACTTGAAATGATAGAATATTTAGATGTTAATAGGAATTCCACTTTAGAATTTATATGCTTGAGGGTAATTTCTTGATAAAGTAAAAATTAATCGATTATTATATCATCAATAATGTAAGCTGAATTTATGATATATTTTGACATCATAAATCAAATTTTATTTTTACAAAAAAAATTTTAAAGACTTTTTATGATCGACTCAATTATCAAGCCATTAAAAATATTTTATAATAATACCATAATAGTTTTCTTCTTTAAGAATGATAAGTTAAAGTACTTAGTAGTTATAGAAAAAAAATTCTAAAAACAACATATGTTAATTAAGAACTTAGCACCACTTCTAAGATTATTAATCAATTTATTAAAATTTTATAATGTAAAATGTTTAAAGAATATGTTCTTGGAATGATATGATCAACTCATAAACATAAGGTGATACATATTTAAGTGAATACTATTATTGATATTTTTTTCTACTTAATTAAAATTACTTATTTTTATTATCCTATTTATATTTATATATACATATTATGATTTAATATGATAATAATATTATCTTGACAAAACAAACTATAAATATTGTTATGAACTATATTAGAAAAGATTAATAGTGTTGAAATATATAAAAAAAGAGTACGATATTGATTACATACAACTACATTGACTCGCATTGGTAGTTGGACCTAATGTTGTAATATTATATTTATTAGGTTTATTAGTATATTTTATAAAAATTTATGTGTAGGTGTAAAATACTTTCTAAGACTTTTAAATTTTAAAATTTTTGTGAGTTTATACAAATTCATCCTAGAGGCCACAAATACCATCAAATTATTGAATCAAGATTTTGTTCGTTTGGATCGTTTTGATGGAACGAATTTTACCCGTTGGCAAGATAAAATGAAGTTCATGTTGACTGCTTTGAATATCTTTTATGTGCTTGATCCAAATATTCAACCAATTCGTGATCCAACCGACGATGACACCGAGGAAAAGGCTAAACAAAAAAAGAGAATTGAATATGAAATCATATATAGAGGATACATTCTCAATGCTCTTTCGAACCGGTGTTATGATCTTTTTACTGTGGAACCATCTACAAAAGCAATTTGGAATGCTTTGGAATTCAAATATCATACTAAGGAGGAAGGGACAAAGAAAATTTTAATTTCTAAATATTTTGATTACAAGTTTGTGGATGACAAGCCAATCTTGGCACAAGTGCATAAGTTGTAGGTCATTGTTAATCAATTGAAAGCTGAAAAAATCGAACTTCCTAAACCTTTTTAAGTATGGGCTATAATAGCCAAGTTGCCTTCATCTTGGAAATGGTATAGGAAGAAGATTTTGCATGACTTCAAGGATATCACTTAGGAGCAAATTCAAAAACATCTTCGAATCGAGGAGGAATCGAGGATGAAAGACAAGAGTGAGAACTCTTTTGGCAATATAAAAGCAAATGTTGTGAATCAATATAAGAATTCCAACAAAGGCGAGCAAAATAAGGAGAATCATTTTGGCCCCAAAAGGGATCAAAGAAAATTTAAGAAGCCAAAAGTGGAGGTTGTTTTGTTTGTGGAAAACCTGGTCATTTTGCTAGGGATTGCAGATTTAAAAAAGGCTAGAAACCGGAAGTCAACTCCGTTGAGGGAGATGATAATATAATCGCTACGGTGAGTGAAGTGAATGCCATATTTGACAAGGTTTCTAGTTGGTGGTACAATACTTATGCTACCGTCTATGTTTGCTATGATAAGATACTCTTCAAGACTTATAAAAAAGTCACAGAAGGGCAAGAGATTCAAATGGGAAATAAAGTTTATTCTAAGGTGATTGACAAGGGAAATGTGGAACTCGTTTTCACTTCGGGTAAGAAAGTCACTCTTACTAATGTTCTTCATGTACCGAATATGAGTAGAAATTTAGTGAATGAGAATCACCTTGGCAAACCTAGAATTAAATCTATATTTGAATCCAGAAAGTTAATTCTATGGAACTTTTGTTGGAAAAGACTATTCCGTTGAGGGAATAGTCAAATTATCTATTGTTAACAATGATTCTAAATTTAATAAAGATATTACTTCTATTTATATTGTTGATTCTTATTTAGCATGATAGATTAGCACATATTGGAGTGAAGTGAATGCCATATTTGACAAGGTTTCTAGTTGGTGGTACAATACTTATGCTACCGTCTATGTTTGCTATGATAAGATACTCTTCAAGACTTATAAAAAAGTCACAGAAGGGCAAGAGATTCAAATGGGAAATAAAGTTTATTCTAAGGTGATTGACAAGGGAAATGTGGAACTCGTTTTCACTTCGGGTAAGAAAGTCACTCTTACTAATGTTCTTCATGTACCGAATATGAGTAGAAATTTAGTGAATGAGAATCTCCTTGGCAAATCTAGAATTAAATCTATATTTGAATCCAGAAAGTTAATTTTATGGAACTTTTGTTGGAAAAGACTATTCCGTTGAGGGAATAGTCAAATTATCTATTGTTAACAATGATTCTAAATTTAATAAAGATATTACTTCTATTTATATTGTTGATTCTTATTTAGCATGATAGATTAGCACATATTGGAACTAGCACCATTAGAAGAATGGTTAAGTGTGGCTTAATAAATTATCATTTTGATGATCTTAATAAATATGAAATTTGTGTTAAACCAAAAACGTTGAAGAAATCCTTCGAAAGTGTTTATACACGTTTCGAACCTAAATATATTTCCTAAAGTATTTTTGATATTGTGTTTGTTATTTATTTCCACGGTGTTTTTATCCTTTCTTTGTCGTATTTTTCCGGAATCAAATAGCCGAGATGCTTTGTCCGACTTCCACGGATTCAACGCTTGCAAACTGTAGCCGAGACTTGTGAATGAATCATGAGCTCATGGGAAGGTCGGCCATGGTGGTGAGTGGCGTCGTCGTGAAGCTTCCTAATGCTTCTCGGTCGTGAGCATTGTTTCCAGGTGAGGTTGGTCAGAGCTCGACAGCAACGGAGGGAGACGGCGAAGACCTCACCGGCCCATGCAGTGCACGACTGCTTCGATTCCCTTATCATCAATGGAGATATGTCATGTCTTGTATGCATCTGTCTTCCTCCTCTAATTATTTCTTGCTTGCTCGTTTAAGGCAGCCTTAAAACTTTGTATCCATTTGTTGAACACTTTTGCAGTAGAATTCCTTCTCATTCGTTCACAGTTTTCTAAATCAATCTCGTATGTACATATAATTCAGAAGAACATACGAGTGCATACAACAACTCATTCATAGTATACATTCAAGAGTTCAAATTAAAGGGAACTAACTAAATAGGGTCAATATTCATTGAGATAAACATTAATATACTATAAAAAGACTAAGTATTTAAGTTGTGAGAGCCTTTTTAATCCTTAATAGTTGAACTATTCTCTAAACTCTCTCTATTTTCATTTGGATTGGCAGAAGGCATTCGTGTTTATCTCTACTTCATACTTGGAGATAGAGATGACAATGAATTAAACTTGTTCTCGTGACATCAATTTTCTATCTTACCTACTTGTCGATTTCAACTTACAAAATGCATTGCGGAAGATGCAGCGGTCAAAGGTTTGATGAGCGACATGCAATAACACGTAAACGCGTTAGGACCGATTGTCTTCTTCCCGTCTCCTATCTCCTTCGACCTGTCTTTTCTCGGTCAAAGGTTTCACAAGTCTTCACCACAAAGCTGTGTCTGAAACCAAAGCCGACTTGGTCGTCTGTTGCTAATTTTTTTTTGTATAATTCCTAATTTTTTGCTAATTTTAATTATGCAACCACTCGCGTGCATATGGGTTTGGTCATCATGCATCATTTCTATTTTGATTCGTGCGTGCCTCGAAATCTTAAGTTAAGCTGGGATAGATATTTTGTTACTAGTGGAGTCTACTTACTACTTAGAATTAAATTGTGCTTAAAATTGTTCTAGGTATTTGTGAAAAGCATTTGTAAATTTACAACTCAAATCAGCGGATGCTTCATAAGACTTTAGTAGTATGCAATTGTTGGTCAAGAAAGCTAAGTTCACATGAATCCTAGGCGCATATGCTAGATGCGTTTTTTAGCTGTCGTTGCTTAGTCATGCATCATGACCTGCTCGCTGAAACTTGTTTGCAACTGATAAGTATTCAGATTTTTTGACATATTTTCATTACATTAGTTGAAAACTGTACATATTTCTTTGTACAGTTTAATCATGTTTGATCATTCACTTATTTCTTTGTCCATCTCCTACTTTTGTCGATTGGCATTAGAACCTCCTTTATCTTTAATGTCACACGCCTTTAGTTGGTATGGAAGGTCAATTATTGTGCAATGGAAGATGACACCAACTTTGTTTTTTATTTTTTTTCAATAATGCTGTGAAAGACGACAGAGTCTGCGTAGGATCGCATGATATGATATGAACAACAGTACAATCAAAGGTGGGTTTGAATGTAAAATGCACTCCTACTTTATATTGTTCGTCGACCTAATAAGAGTAGTTTATGCATGTTTGCCATTGCTACGGTTCTTGTTCACCGTTGCGGCTATAACTTGCACCTCACTCACCCTTGCCTTGGCTGCCACAATACTTGGAGACAGCTACTCTACTCCCACTCTGTGACCACTTGATGGACAAGGCTATGGCCGATTCCGTCATCTCCTGGCTGATCGGTATGTTGATGGACAAGGCTAAAGAGAAGGTGGACTCGTGGTTGGGAGTCCCCGAGGATATCAAAAAGCTCCGACGCACTCTCCGCAGCTTCCAGTCTGTCCTTGACGCCGAGAATCGGCGGATCGAGGACAAGGCCGTCAACGACTGGCTGATGGAGCTGAAGGATGTCCTGTACGACGCCGACGACCTCCTCGACGAGTGGCGGGCCGAGAAGTGCACCCCGGGAGAGCCCCCTCTGAAGCGGGTCAAACGCAACATATCTTCCATCTCGTTCAGAAATGTGGTGGGCAACAAAATCAAGGATCTCAACGATCGGCTGGTTGTCATTATGTCATATAAATAAAACCATAGTTCATGTAGCAAGGTATTGAGATAGAGAAAGAGACAGATAGAGAGTCTGTGTGCATTTGGTATCTTGTAAGTGTCTTATCAATCCTCCTGCTTTTAATACTACATCAGTTTTCTTGAGTCGAAATGCTTTTTTTTACTCGTATCGTAGTATTCTGTTTCTCCTTGCTTCTCCATCCCCAACATTTGTGGTATCAGAGCCTAGTTTCAATCTGAACTGGGCATTATGGCTTTTAATAGCAATTCCGTGTCTCAACCCCTTATCCCCATCTTCTCGGGCAAAAGTTATGAATTTTGGAGTATCAAGATGAAGACTCTATTCAAGTCTCAAGATCTTTGGGACTTAATAGAGAATGGATATGCAGATCCAGATGACGAAATCAGGTTGAGAGAGAATAGAAAGAAGGACTCAAAGGCATTGTTCTTCATTCAACAAGCTGTACATGAGACGATCTTTTCAAGAATTGCAGCAGCAACAACCTCAAAGCAAGCTTGGTTGATACTTCAAAATGAATTTCAAGGCTCATCAAGGGTGATTACGGTAAAACTTCAAACCTTCCGTCGTGAGTTTGAAATTTTGTTCATGAAAAGTAATGAATCGGTGCAAGATTTTCTTTCTCGAGTGATTGAAATTGTTAGTCAAATGAAATCTTATGGTGAACATTTTCCTGATCATATAATTGTTGCAAAAGTTTTGAGAAGTTTAACTCCGAAATTTGATTATGTTGTTGCCGCAATTGAGGAATCAAAAGATTTATCTACTTATTCATTTGATGAACTAATGGGTTCCTTGCAAGCACATGAAGTAAGGTTGAACAGGTCACTTGAAAAAAGTGAAGAAAAAGTATTTCAGGCTAAGGGGGAGTCTTTTATTTCAAAAGGACAAAAAATCAACAGGAAGAGGACGGCAGAGGAAAAGAGAAAAGCAAGCAAGTTATGTGGAGAAAAATGAAGAAAATAGTAAGTTGTTTATGACTCATTCATAAATTCATAACATCTCAAATGATATTTGGTTTTTAGATAGTGGATGTTCTAATCATATGTCAGGCATAAAATCAATATTTAGAGATATTGATGAGACTCACAAGTTGAATGTTAGACTTGAGATAACAAGCAAATCTAAGTGGAAGGGAAAGGAACAATTGAGGTGAAGACAAATCAAGGGAAGGTAAAATAACTTGATAATGTTTTCTTTGTTCCTACTTTATCACATAATTTGTTGAGTGTTGGACAATTAGTAAATGATGGATATTCAGTAATATTTGATGATGTTTCATGCACTATTAGAGATAAGAAATCTGGTTTGATTATAGTAAATGTTTGCATGACACAAAACAAGATGTTTCCACTTGATGTGTCAAATACTGAAAGATATGCGCTTATTACAACTCAAAAGAATGAGTTTAGTTTATGACATTTAAGATATGAACACCTTAACATTAAAGGTTTAAGGTTGTTAAGTCAAAAAGGAATAGTTTTTGGATTGCCTAAGATTAATACACTTGATGTATGTGAAGGATGTATTTATGGCAAACAAAATAGAAAATCATTTCCTATTGGAAAAGCATGGAGAGCATCTAACTGTCTTGAATTAGTTCATGCTGATTTATGTGGACCTATGAATACAAAATCATTCAGTGGAAGTCAATATTTTTTATTGTTTACGGATGATTATAGTCGCATGAGTTGGGTATATTTTTTGAAATTGAAATCTGAAACATTTGATAATTTTCGAAAATTCAAAGCACTTGTAGAAAGACAAAGTGGTAGATATATAAAGACACTTCGGACAAATAGAGGTGGTGAATTTTTATCTAATGAGTTTAGTTCTTTTTGTGAAGAAAATGGTATCCACAGAGAATTGACAGCACCATATACACCGGAGCAAAATGGTGTAGCTGAGCGTAAGAATCGGACTGTCGTTGAAATGGCAAGAAGTTTGCTTAAAGGAAAACATCTTCCAAATCAGTTTTGGGCAAAAGCAGTTGCAACAGCAGTTTATTTGTTGAATATTTCACCAACAAAGGCTTTTGAGGCTTGGTATGGTATGAAACCAAGTGTTAGACATCTAAGAATTTTTTATTGTATTGCTTATGCTTTAGTGAATTCACAAAATCATCACAAGCTTGAGGAAAAATCAGAGAAATGCATTTTAATTGGTTATTCTTTACAATCTAAAGCATATCGATTATATAACCCTGTTAGTGGCAAAGTTATTATTAACAGAAATGTTATGTTTGATGAAAGGGCAAGTTGGAATTGGGAGACCAATAAAGGTGAAACACAAATGCAGATTCCAGCAGAACTAGACACTCCGCAGAATCAAGTGATAGATCCTGCTCCAAATTCATCGTCAGATGAAACCCCTCTAAGAAATTTCAGATCACTGACAGAAATTTATAACTCAATATTTGCTTTGTTTATTTCAGATCCTACAACTTTTGAGGAAGTAGTTAAAAAAGAGGAAGGAGAAAAGCAATGAAGGAGGAAATCAAGTCTATTGAGAAGAATGAAACTTGGGAATTAATGGATCTACCGAAAGAAAAGAAAGCGATTGGGTTAAAATGGGTGTTCAAAACAAAATTTAAATGCAAATTATTTGGTTTCACTAATAGTGATTGTGCAGGAGCTTTAGATGATCAGAAGAATACTTCAGGCAAGTGGAACCATAACAAGGAAGTATTGTAGAACGGATGAACAAGTTGCGGATATTCGGATACCCTCACCAAATTATGCAACTATGAATCAAGGGGGAGTGTTGAGATTTGATTCATAGTTATCTATCTAGATTGTTATCATGATCTAGTGGTTACATGATGATTTCAATAACCACTTGAATCATGATCTAGTAGTTATAAGGTGATTTTCTAGTAGTTATAAGGTGATTTTCTATAATCACCTCATGATCTAGTAGTTAGGGTGGTTGTCATTAGGTCCTATAAATAGAATCATAGTTCATATAGCAAGATATTGAGATAGAGAAAGAGACAGATAGAGAGTCTGTGTGCATCAGTTTTCTTGAATCGAAAGGCTTCTTTTTACTCGTATTATTCTGTTTCTCCTTGTTTCTCCATCCCCAACAGGTTCCTCAAGTTAGTCGCATAACTTCCCCCACGATGAAGTCTGACATGGTTGGCGAGCAACTGGAGGACGACGCCATGGCACTGATGAAGCAGCTGACAAAGCAAGATCCGAGTAAGAACGTGGTGGTGCTGGCAATTGTGGGGATCGGCGGCATCGGAAAGACCACCCTCGCTAAGAAGGTGTTCAATGATGGTAAAATCAAAGCCAGCTTCCGCACCACCATCTGGGTGTGCGTGTCCCAAAAGTTCAGCGAGACGGATCTTCTCAGAAATATCGTTACAGGTGCTGGTGGAAGCCATGGTGGAGAACAGAGCAGGAGTCAGCTGGAGCCCGCGGTGGAGCGTCTCCTGAGAGGGAACAAGTTCTTGCTGGTGTTGGATGATGTTTGGGGTGCTCAGATCTGGGACGACTTGCTCCGAAATCCTTTGCAGGGAGGAGCAGCAGGGAGCAGGGTGCTGGTGACCACCAGAAACGCAGGGATCGCGAGGCAAATGAAGGCGGCCCACGTCCACGAGATGAAGCTGCTGCCTCCGGAGGATGGCTGGTCGCTCCTGTGCAAGAAGGTGACGACGAATGCAGAGGACGAAAGGGATGCCCAAGATCTCAAGGACACAGGCATGAAGATTGTTGAGAAATGCGGAGGGCTTCCCCTGGCCATCAAGT